AAAGGTATCGCTGGTATCTGCGGGGAGGTTGCAAATGTCACCAAGCTTCGATTCCGTTCTCTCTTTGTGGAATGTGCACGGAGACAGCAATCCATCAATCTTCCCAATGTGAAAGAGTTTGTAAATTTCAAGGTTGCTGTCTCTGAACACAGGACACTGAACTCATACAAGGGCATTGTCCGCGACAGGGCTCACTGCCTGTTTGGTTTGAGGATGAAATAGTCAAAGAACTTGTCCAACAGTCTGTTACAGCTGTCAAACGATTTACAGTAAAAAAGGATTGTGTGGTTGTAGAGACATCCCCAATCCAATCCGGTGCTACACCTGCCACGCGTTTGGACATGGATCCAAGTCCTTTCATGCCTCTGCTGTTTGTTACCGCTGCGGTGAAGAACACGAGGCCACTGACTGCAGGAAGGATGTGAAGTGTTCAAACTGCGATGGGAACCATATGGCTTCTTCCAAATCCTGCCTTGTGTGGAAACTCCATCTCCACATGAATCCGATGGGAGTACATGTACTACAACGTCTTCCTCATATTCGCCAGTGGAATCACCACCATGAATCCACAAAACATAATACAATAGAATTGCAGAGGCCTTAAGAAGTATTTCAATAAACTATAACTTTTGATCCAAGATTTTAAACCGTCAGCTTTTTGTCTCCAAGAAACATATCTAAAAACCACAGAACTATTTGATATCAGTCAGTACAGTTCCTACCACTCGTTTTCCCCTCCTGGTGATAAAGCTACAGAGGGTTCTTCTATCCTGGTGAAGCAGGCCTAGGGCATTATCCATAGCCCTGTTACACTTCAAAACTACTGTACAAGCTGTTGCTGTTCGTGTTACTTTGACCATGGTGTTTACACTGTGTTCACTGTATCTTCCATCTTCCTCAACTATCCGTCAATCAGATCTTCAGACTTTGTACGATCAGCTACCGAAGCCCTGTATCATCATGGGCGATTCAAACGGTCATAATCCCTTTTGGGGGAGTCAGACACAAATACGAAAGGAAAAAGTCCTTGAAGATTTTATCTCAAACAATGATTTATGCATCTTCAATGATGGTAATAATACATATCTCCATCCTGCCGCTGGCACATACTCTGCCCTAGATATTTCACTGACAGATTCGAATATTTTATACGAATTCGAATGGTCGATCCATGATGACCTTTGTGGAAGTGACCATTTTCCAGCAAAGCTTACAACTATTAATCCGTCTGACGAACCACCTTCTACAAGGTGGAACTTTACAAAGGCCAACTGGTCTTTATTCCAAACACTTTTTTACTGAAAAACTAAACCCTGACAGTTTCAGGAATGTTCCTGATCCTATACAACATTTTTCAGATATATTAAATGCTATTGGAGACGAAAGCAAGTCCTCTGCAATCCCTCATTTACGTAAACCATGGTGAGATACTAGTTGTAAACAAGCTTGAAAAAATAGGAAGAAAGCTGAGAAATATTTCCGCCGACATCCCACTGTCCACAACTTGAATAACGTTTAAATCACGGTCGCCAAAGCGAGACGTACCTTTAAGCAAAATAAACGTCAAACCTGGAGGAATTATGTTTGATAAATCAATTCCCGCACAACCATGTCCAAGGTGTGGAACATGATTCAAAAGATTAAGGGCAAAGGATCCAAATCTGGAGTTCAACATCTCAAAGATGGTAATACACTTTTAACTACTAAATCCGAAATTGCCACAAACTTTGGCAAACCGTTCCTCATAATAAAACTAAAATACTAATTTTCAGAGAAAAGTTAAGGTAAGTTTTAACTCTCATAATAGTGAGCTCTAAAACGAAATATTTTGAATGAATTGCATACTGCCCTAGGGATTTCATGTCACCGAGCAGGAGCCGACAACATCCACTATCAGCTCATGAAACACTTACCCGATTCATGTTTCGAAACGTTACTTGTTTAAAATATTTGATGAAATATGGACAACTGGACATTTCCTCCTTCGTGGCACAATGCTATTATTATTCCCATTCCAAAGCCTGGACGGGATCATACAGATCCATCCAATTACCGTCCAATATCATTAACTAGCTGTGATTGTAAAACCATGGAGCGCTTAGTCAACAATCGATTAGTCGGGTACTTGGAGACCAATAACCTACTCAGTGACATCCAGTGTGGTTTCCGAAACAACAAAAGTACCATTGACCATTTGGTGCATTTAGAATTCAATAAAAATTCCATTGTCAACAAACAACAAACTGTATTAATCTGCTTCGATCTTGAGAAGGCATATGATACAACGTGGAAACGTGGTATTTCAAAAAAATTGCATGAATTTGGATTGAGGGACAGATCATGACCAGGGCGTCCCTCAAGGCAGCAAACTATCAGTCACACTTATCAGCATTAAAATTAATTGTCTCACTGACAATGGTTCTCTTTTTGTGGACGATTTCAACATTTCATGTCATTGTAAGAATATGAATACAATAGAAAGACAGCTACAGCTCTGTCGTAACAAAATTCAAAAATGGGCGAACGATAACGGTTCAAATTCTCAAAATCCAAAACAAACTGTATTCACTTTTGTCGTAAATACAAACCACATAAGGATTCAGATTTATTTTTAGATTGTACTCCTATCAAGGTAGGAGAGGAGGCCAAATTCCTGGGCCTCAGATTTGACCGTCATCTCACATTCTTACCACACCTCAAATATCTAAAGGCAACGTGCTTGAAGGCTCTCGACTTGTCAAAAGTCGTTTCAAATTCCGAGTGGGGAGGGGATCAGACCAACCTCCTTCATTTGTACAGATCGTTAATACGCTCCAAACTAGACTATGGTTCCTATGGAGAAAAATTAGACACAATACACCATCAAGGCTTAAGGCTCTGTCTTGGAGCTTTCAGGACCTCTCCCATGGGCAGTTTGTATGTGGAGGCCGATGAACCTTCACTTAAACAGCGCCGGATTAAACTTTCTCTGCAGTATATCACTAAACTGCACTCAAATCCAGCATACAATTGTGTTTTTTCCCCCTCAGTATGGACACCTGTTTCGAAATCTGTCAAACCTGGTTCCACCACTTGGATCAGAATCCTACCACACATCGCTGCAGATAAAATAAATCTAAATAAGATATAGAGAATCTCACCCGAGTGTCTTTTGATATCAAATATATCAAATATATCAACATCGAGGCTCGCCGAGGATTTTTTCCACTTTTATCAACGAGTGTTGATATATTTGATATCAAAAGACACTCGGGTGATATTTTATTTATCATCCAACATCATTCTTCGAATTTTTTCAGTTTGTAGACAGTAATTAGCAGTGTCTTAAGTGTAAAAAGTACTGCTTACAGCTTCAGTAGCAGAGCCATTAGTGATGTCATATGATTGTGACGTCATGGTAACCAATGATGTCACAATAGTCTGCAAAGCATTGTGAAGCAATTTCATTGCAGCGATATCTACAGTGTAGATATCGCTTGATCTCACCCAAGCGATATCTCCTGTGGGAGCCAGTTTTGGATGATAAATTACCTTCCCTTCCTGGCTGGTGGTGAATCCTATGATAATCGATGTAACTATCATCAACCAGTGTTTTTACGCCAACTCAGAGGTACTGTAAGTCCCAATGATCCCCAGCGAGGTGGCCTAGCTTTGGTTACTGGTGGCCTATAGCCCGTGTTTTAAAACTGTATACATGTACATGATAGTGTTATGCTCAAATGTGTTTCATAATTTTTTTTTAAATATAACTTTGCATAAATTACTTAATTGTAACTAAATTAACTTGGTCTCGTCGCTATATGGCTGAAATAATGCCGATGCGACGTTAAACTTTAACTTACTGTCAGTAATATTCACGCTATATCAGAATAACAGAGTCTAAGCCACACCGGACGCTAAAAGTGTTTATCAACGCCGGTTCAAAATATCCGCGAGTAATACAGAACAGAATGGCTGACATAAATACAGGTCGTCTAATTTAGGTCCTGCTATTGCAATTTTTAGATATAAAATAGATCTTATTATTGAGTTATGGCCTATCAATTTCTGAGATAGTTGTAGTGTTGATGTCCGAAATATTTTCACAATATAGTGAGCGTGCACTAGTATTTGCACTTAGCAAGCGACATCGACGCGTTTTTCAACTGAAGAGCAATTCACGACGAGAGGCCAGTTTTAGATTTTCGAGGTTGCTTTTGTTATGCGCGGTACAACCACATGCCGTCAGCTGAGTCACACATCGCGTTCAACGCTTACCTTATCCAACACCTACAAACAGCGTTTGCTGCTTGTTGGGCTTTTCGACCCCGGATCCATTGGGGCAGTTTATTGGCAAAACAAATGCTCCAACTTGTTAATGATACGTCTTAAACATTGTGCGTAGACACTACGAAATGTTATCTGTGTTGTTGCAGTCACAATATACGACAATGTATAGATAGCCAATCACTATACACATACATGTTCAATAGTGTATAAGGATTTTTATCATGCTGTGTCAGCTGCCATTTGGGTTAGGTAGACATGAAAGGTGAATCAGGTAAACAACATGGGCATACGTGCACATTTCAAATAGATTTGCCTTTCTTTTGTAGTGTGTTGCATTTGTTACGCAAAACCCCACCAACCATGAGTGTGTTAATAATACTGTTTACAATCCGAACAATACGACTCACAATTAATCTTGGTGCTTACGTCAGAAGGGAAACTCTACACTGATATGAGTATGGTGTATCGCAAGATAATGTACCTTTCATGTGTACTGAGCTAGTAATAATGGGCTCAACGCATGATGCTGTAGGTCTGACATTGATCTAATGATTAAAATATAACGGTCGATATTCATTTCAGCTCCACAGACATTTGGTGTGTTAACAGAAGTAAAAAGCCTAAGTTGTACCGATTGAATGAACATGCCCTCCTTGCGATTGACTTGATTGAATCTTAGTCCCACATTGGTAGTCATGAATAAACGTTATGCGCAGTTGATATTGGTCGGGGCGATCGACAGTAGCATAGTTTGGTGCGCCGTTATGGAACAAACAAACACTCACCATGTTATGCAAATAGTGTAAGTGGAGGGTGCTACCGGTAAAGCGGAACATGCTTATCCTTTTTACGAACACCGAGTGTGATCACTGATATCCTGTGATCAAATCAGCCTAGTTTTGCCTATTACATGCAGTGGAATCTGTTTCGGCAGATAACCGAAACTCATTATTCTCTGTGGCCTTCAAACAGAACTGAGGTATAGTTGAGATAGACGGCAATGAGCGCATGTGAGGTAAGTTTTCAAACCTTCTGTCTGTCTGTCTGTCTGTTTGTCTGTGTGTGTGTGTGTGTGTGTGTGTGTGTGTGTGTGTGTGTGTGTGCATCCATATATGCACAGATATAAACATGTTCACTTGTGTTTCATGACAGAAGACCGTTAACATGCCCGGCGTTACTTCAGCTGATGATGGAATGTTCACAAACAGATTCGAGTAAGCAATGCTTCAATCATATCAGTTATGACCTTTTGTCCAATAAAAGCAAACAATTAAATAACCTGGGTCATATCAAAAAGAAATATCACCAACAACCAGTTTATGATTAACTTCCTTGAGTATTCAACAAAGGTTGCATTTCACGTCCAAAGACCGTGACACAAAACTTGAATAACCTGACTGAAGTTTATCCAAACAGTCGCACGAAATTTCAAAGACATAATAATTGTAAAGAATATGAGGTTGAACTTATGATTCCACACATCTCATTTTCCATGTCACAATCGATATCGGACGATGGTTTGATTGATAACTGATAAGTAAATTGGGTTATCAATGGATGTATAGATGGTTGAATAAACAGCTTAATATCTTAACCATGAGTTTGACCATTTTCTTGTTTCAGAATTATTCACGGAAGCTTACCGATTATTCGAAAGGACAATACCGGAGCCAAATGTTAACCACATTCACATAACTTCAGACGTGCTCATACAATCTGGAAAAACAACCAAAGATGCCAACAAAGCTAAACGAGAGAAAAAACGGAACATTTTAAGGATTTTTCAGAAAATTGTATCGGCTCTCCGCAATTCGAAGGGAGGATGCATTCTTATTCATCTGTGTGACAGAACAGAGACAGTTTTCAACTTGTCAGCATTCGATGAATTTGCAGATCACAGTCTGAAATCATTGATTGGTGACAGATCCCTTTATACAGATGTCTTCGTGCGAAAATGGTTAAGAGAATATTCCAAGTTTGAAGATTACACCAACATAATTGTACTTACTGTGAGTTCAGGCAAGGGTGTTTCAACAGTAGAACCCAACACAAAGGTAGGATCTGATCACGAACTAGTAGACCCTTACTATTTTGAACTACTTGCTCTGCTGTCAAAACCTGACAAAACGTCAAAACCTGAAATTCGTGGAATCTCAAGCAATTTACTGTTCGAGAGTCGTAGCATACAGCTGAAATGCTTTCCGCAGAATAAAGGGGACGTTGTCAAAGTTGGAAAAGAAACTGAACTTGTTGACTATATATGGAATAATCTTCGTTTCAAACACTATCTGAGCTCATTTTCAAAACTCTACGAGGGTGGATCTTACTACGTGGGGGTTGCCGAGGCGAAAACGTCTTCAAATCCAATAGTCGCGGGAATCCCCTTTCAAGGAGATGAAGACAAACTGAAAGAAGAATTTGAAAAAAAGTTAGAGAGTGTTGTGATACTTAAAAGAGATGGTACAGTTCATATTGGAGATTCTTGCAAGAATCTTATTGAAACCCATCTACACTCATTGGATAATAGTGACAACAAAGTGCTCGAGATAGCTGTACGTTTTGTTCCTGGAATTATGTTTTATGACAATGGGCCCAAAGCCTACAAAATCGTACCCAGTGTTCAGCCTGTTGTAACAGAAATCGACCTCAGGGCATGGTGCCAAAAGTTTATGCTCCTGTGTCCATAGCAAATGGTGTCTATTAAAAGCTAAACTTGGTCTATATAGTTATCTGACAATGTCGTCAGATGAAACCGATTCGAGTTTATCTTCATCATCGGATGAGGACATCATGTGCTCTCCATGTGATTTGGAAGATATGAGTTCAAGTTCAGGTGATGTAGACGGTTCTAGAGGCAGACAAGGACAAGAACCGAAATATAGTTTCGTGCAAGGTACCCTTAAACAACTTCCCAACTGCATAACAGACTATAGTTTATCAAAAGGCACAAAACACATTCTTTAGATATCTGATTCCAGGCAACACAATTTGCTATTTATGTTTTGGCTAATATTCGAGACCAGTTATTCTCTTCCGTTGGCGTTTTATATTTAATGATGCAAGTTCGGCAATTTATGACAATCTCTTTTACCTAATTATGAAATGTTTTGCATTATTTGTGTGTAGAGCATGAATGTAATGATGAAATAAAACTACCGAATACTCACAATTTGACGGTAACATTCAAAGATTATCATCTCTGTATGGTTTGTTATTGCAGTGAAGGAGACCTCACAGGTCAGACACCTACACGATTCTTTCAACCTGGAAGCCTTCGAGGACGAACTTGAGGCTTATTTTAATGATCTAACAAAGACAAACGGTATGTATTTAAATTTATATTTTAGGTATGAGGTTAAGTTACCTTTGGGAATGGGTGAATCAATTATCTAAGACCCAACATGGAGTTGCTCAGGCGTGTCACAAACCTCAAATCGTGGTTTCGTATTCCGGATTCCCTATGATTCTCGCTTTGTCAGTTCCATGTCCGTGATCAATGGCTTCACAAAAAGTGCATCTGCATCAATTGCTTCACCCTCCAATATGAAGGTGACTCTTCTAATAAAACTGAGATTCTGAAGTGTGTAATTTTCACAATGAGTATGGCAGTATTCGTTAACAAGACACATAGTTTTGGGTTGCTTTAAGTTTTAACCTGAATTTGGCTGCCGCCGCCACCAACAGACATCTCAGAAATATATATCCTAAATAGCCTTTGGGATTTGTATTGATATTTTGATGTGCCGTGTGTCACGGGTCAAGGCCACCCTCAAGGCTTCCCGCTTTACTCAAGAAGGTGTTTCTTTTTCATGTCAATGAAACTTGGTACAGAAAAGATTACAAAAGCTAGAAGTGATCTATTTTTAAGGTCAAGGCCTTTCTTAAAATATGTTCACCATTTTCTCTTAATGCCTTTTTCTGCAAGTGTGTTTTGTTTGTTTTATATTAACATTAAATACTTATGAATGTACAGAGGTGACAATCTTGCGATATCGAAAGTTAATCATGGTGACCGTTAACAACACGAGTATCATATCAATAAGATGTACATTTCTCTTACAACCTACGGACATATTTTTGGCACATTCATATTATGGCGACCGTGTGATAATGTTGTATGTGATAGTGACCTGCTCTCAATGAGTAACATCATACTTGGTATATATGATGAACATCCCTATGTCATGTTCTTGAAGTACTGATACTGAGAGTCACATATACTCTCAAGGTCATACACTCAAAATTGTTTGGGGTTCCTGTAGTAGGATGTCATTTTTATACATATCATCCTTAGGGTGAGATATTGAAGTGGTAAGGTACTGTGTGACCTTTGAAGAGTGAGGTCAAGTTCACTGGCGTGAACATAGTTCTGCCGCTGTTCCGACACATGTATGTGTAAATGACATGTTTGTACAGCACCCATGTGTTGTCAACTAGAAATAGGCAAGCGTACGATTGGCCGAAATTAAGGTCAGAGTACTTAAACCGGAAGCTCACTTAACTATCTTATATAGTTGGCTGTATGCATGTGACTTTCTTTTCCAGTAATTTTGCATTACACAAGCATTATCCCAAACCAGAAGTTCAAGGCGCTCAAGGCGCTCATGATGTGGTGACAATATTAATTTCTTATTGTTTTCACACAGGCAAAATGAGAGTTTTCCCCAAGTCAATGGAGCTCTCAATAGCAAAACAACATCCAAAGGTTTTGGAAAATTTGAAGTGTCTTGACCTGAAAGACGTCTTTGTGTATTTAGGGAACACATTTGTCGTTACCTTAAACATGCACAATAAAAGGATAAGAATTCCGAGCAGGCTCATCTGTGATGCGTTGGTGTTTAGCAGCAACAAAGCCGTACTGGTACTTAGCTTTGTCAATGGTCAAACAGACATGGCCAGGAGACTTGATGTGTATAACAACTTTGTTGCTCGGGGTGTGTTAGAAGCTCTGAGAACACTTATGAATGACATCAGTGTTATTAGAGGTGTCATCGATGAAGAAGACAATCTTAGCTCATGTCTTCCGGAGCTGGAGAAACAAGCCATGTTTTTCAATCCTACCTCCATCTCCATGGATAAGGTTAAGCGGGATGCTGCTGTCAAATCAATTCTAAGGTCTGTTGCAGTTACTCAAGCAGCAAGTGTTTTCACACTGACTGCGAATGGCTCGTGTGGAAAAGGATTGTGTTTCTTAAATCGCAATGAATTTGAATTTCTATCTGAGTTCATAGACATGAAAAGTTCTACATTGATGCACACCGTTAAGGGACAGAAGGACATCATAGCGCTTGAATTGGCAAGCAGGGCATCTAGAAGTGGAAAGGCAGCTCTTCATGTACAGAAATCCGGTCATGATGAAGCATTGAAGGCTCATAGGTAAATACCGCCAGCGTCAGCATCATTAATTCTAAACCACCAGCATCATGTATTCAGGCAATGGCCGACACAGATGTGGCACTCATGTGCAAGTATATATAAATGTAGCTTGTACGAAACACTTTAAGCAGGACAGTTTATATTCAAATTTAAAGTATTGTTGTGGTGTCATTTTCTACAGTTCTGAATAAACTGTCTTATACAGGGACAAGCATCCCAACTTAGATATTTTCCCAACTGTAGCTGATATTGAATGTGGAAAGTACAAACATATCTTTGCTGCAAAAATGGACCATATCAAAGGGGATAAACAGATTGGTGGAAATATTTGCATAATATCCTCTTCAAAGTCAGGTGAGCATTTTGTGATTTGGAACTAAATGGATAATTACATGCACGTCAGAAAACAAATGAACGTTACAATTTATCTTTATTGATATAAAAGGATGCATGTAAACGGGTAAATAACCGTTGCCTTTGGCTGTTTTGATACAATTATTGAACCTATTCTTTATGCATACTTTGGATCGGCGCATCCGTAAACCAAGTAATAAAGACCAAATAATTGGTGTTATATATACCATTTATAGTGTTTCACATTTATGATTGCATGTTTTGTGCATTTTAGCTTTTAGTGTCCTTTCCAATGGTTAAAGCACCAGTGTATAGCCAGAAACAGGTCAAACTTGGTTCTGTTTCACAAAATATTCTTAGCACCAAGACGATCGACTGTCCATACACTAACATTGTGAGAAACGTATACGTTTGTATAACGGACCACGGATTGATAAATCGAGTGATCTCCAAAGATGCTTAAGTGTTACAGTTGTTACCTTATTTTATCTTTGAATGCGTTGCTTTGTTGTCCAATGTTTTTGTTCTACTATCAATTTTTACTTAACAGATTTCAAACCTTTGAAGAAACTTACCAAGCATACGACCAAAAGAAAATCTACTTTTTCAAGATTTTCCCGAAAGACAGGAGTTGTGCATGTGAGTATTAACGTGCACTATTGTTGTACTAGTTGTAAAGTGCTTTTTACATTACAAATACAACTAGTTGTGTTACATTTCATTGCTTAGCCATGCAAAGGTCCTCTTGAGACAGGTATTGAATCCCAAGCGTGTCCTGGTTCTTGGCCTGCAGCGCCATACATGGGCTCATGGTCTTCACTAAAGGTGTAAGTGTCAAGGATCTATACCAGCACCACTTATTAAGATGACACAACATAACTGAAACAATGCTTAAAGTTGGGTTAAACCCAACTCACTCTCTCCGACATAGAAATTATAAAAGACATGTTATTCTTTTAGATATCTGGTGAGTCTGGAATGGGTAAGTAAGTTTTAATCAAGTCGAAAAACATGGTTCCTTATACATGTATATAACAGTTCAACGTAATAGTGCATTGTCTACACGATTGCATATTTCATGTTTCTGTTAGAGGTTTTACTGGAGATACGACATCTCAGAGACATCAATTTGTACCCACCACAACATTCATCTTGTTATTGTTGGACACGTATTCATTGCTTCATATTTATGCTTGATATGAGCCTTTGCTTGTTACGCCGAAGACCCGGGTTCGATTCCCGACATGGGTACAATGTGTGAAGCCAATTACTGGTGTCCCCCGCCGTGATATTGCTGTAATATTGCTAAAAGCGGCGTAAAACAATACTCACTTGCTGATATGAAGGTTTTATCAGCTCAGGTAGCGACCGACATTAGATATTCGGAATTGTTTATTCTGTGTGTGTGTGTGTGTGTGTGTGTGTGTGTGTGTGTGTGTGTGTGTGTGTGTGTGTGTGTGTGTGTGTGTTGTTTGGGTGTGTTTGTTTTTGTTTTTGTTTTTTGTTGTTGTTGTGTTTGTTTTTGGCATATAGAAATGGGTTCCGTCCGTGTGTGTGTGTGTGTGTGTGTGTGTGTGTGCGTGTGTGCGTGTGTGCGTGTGTGTGTGTGCGTGCGTGTGTGCGTGTGTGCGTGTGTGCTTGTGTGTGTGTGTGTGCGTGTGAGTGTGTGCGTCCCGAAATCGTTTCCGGAGCATAACTCAGAAACCGTTAAATATTTCTCTACGAAACTTTGCATGTCTATCAGACTCATGCTGAACTGGTGCCTTTTGCTACTAAGGAATTTTATAATTTTTTATTTTTTACGTTTCCATGGCAACAAGTTGGACTTAGGTTCTATAAGGGTGCTGTTCGTTTCCGGAGCGTAACTAAAAAACTATTAAATACTTTCTTACAAAACTTTGCATGTCTACTAGGCACATACTGAACTGGTGCCTTTTGCTATTTAGGAATTTTATAAAAAAAAATTTACGTTTCCATTGCAACAAGTTGGACTTAGGTTCTATAAGGGTGCTGTTCGTTTCCGGAGCGTAACTCAAAAACCGTTAAATGATTTCTTACAAAACTTTGCATGTTTACCAGACACATACTGAACTGGTGCCTTTTGCTATTTAGGAGTTTTATACATTTTTATTTTTTACGTTTCCATGGCAACAAGTTGGACTTAAGTTCTACAGCGGTGGTGTTCATTCCAGAGTGTAACTCAAAAACCTATAAATACTTTCTTACAAAACTTTGCATGTCTACCAGGCACAAACTGAACTGGTGCCTTTTGATATACAGCACTTTTAGAAATTTTCATTGTTTATGTTACCATGACATTAAGTTGGATTTAAGTTTTAATATAGGATTGGTTTACTTAAGTAGTATAACAAATAAACTGTTAAATATTTCCTTGCCATATAAAGTGCATACTGAACTAGTGCCATTTGATATTAAGGAGTTTTAGAAATGTTTATTTTAGAATTTCCATTGCAGCTATTTTGACATGGGCTAAGAGACATGTTGGGTCGGTGACCTGGTTTGGGACCATAACGTGTTAAAATGGGCGGGGGATGTAGATGACTTTGTCAACTATACGCTTGTTTGTTTTTGGGGGGAGGGGGGGTACGGGGATTTTGTATCGAGATAGGATATTTTCTCAGCTACAGCTATAAAACCAGATATGTATTAATTTATAACTATGTATTTCGTGAGAATAACACCTTGCAGCAATGTACTATTTCAAATGGTTAGTCCATAGGGGGCTCGTGGCAGTATTTGATAGGTATAATTAACCTCACCCTTTTCTTCAGATAAAGTCTTCTCGTCATTCGTGCACGCCTGTAATGATTTTCTTTATAGAACGTGAGTTCAAGTCGATGCCGAATCTGGCGGAGCCAGGACCATTTGTGGAGGATCATGCTAATCAGGAAGAACATGTATGTGTATACATCCACCAATAAGATGTAGCTGGTTGGTATTCAGAAATGAATATCATTGCCATAAATGTGACAATTCCATTAACAAGGCATGATAATAAACAATATAGTGATGATGTTATGTCATCAGTGATGAAGGTTATTACAATCCAACGGTCTACCATGAGCTCATTACTAAACAATCTTAATCTCATTCACCATTGTGCTATATATCTTAATCTTTTCCCTCTTAATACTGGCTTCCAGTCAACTTGAACATACTGTTACATGTCTTGATAATCCTATTTAGTCTATATGTACATCAATCATGCCTCATAATTCAACCTTATCGCACATGTAAATCTGTCATCATCAAACCTTGTACAAACATCAATTATCCAAATGTATTTAACCTCCCTATTGTATATTGCTAGACGTCACTTGCTTGATAACACTGTCAGTATTAACACCGTTACGATGCATTCATTGTAATAAAGAAGTTGTATATCCATGGAATTATCTCCCTTGTTAAACATTAAGATTGCCATTGCTACATGTATATTATATGGCTGTTTCTAGAATTGATATTTTCAAAACAAGCAATTCATGTTACAGGGAATTACTCTGCTTGAAAGAAAACCACTGAATAAGCTGGATGCACAATGCAGCTTTACACCAATTATGCCAGCAACCCAACTACATGTACCACTGCACACTCCCTCATCTTTACCAAGTGTCGAGTCTGAGGATCAAACACTCAGAATACGTAAGTGTTACAATATTGCGTTTAGACACAACAAAGTCGTCGTGTTCAAGTAGGTAGACGGAGGAGTGAATATGACTACGTGTATGCTCAAGCTGTGTTTGCTGCCAATATGCCTTGATAGCAACACGTGCCATTTATTATTTATACATGTAGATGCATGCTACTGTCCGTCATCCCTCAAATTTCAAATAATATTTCTACGTACAGTAATGTTTAAATCAATAATCATACTGCTCGGATCGCTCAACTGCAACCGTGCACGGCGAAGTGAAGCGTCTTTGACAACAGTGTCACGTGGACGTTGAGTGAAATAGAGACTGTAGGATCATTAGCAATCGTGTTTTGTGTATCCAATGTAGTAGTACACTGTTCGATGTAAACGGAAATTAATTTTCTTATGGTGGCTGTGATAGATTATCATATTCTTATTTTTTTCGTTTCAGGTAATCCAAAAGTCCAGCAGATGAAGGTAAGTTTTCTAGGGAAACATGTTTTACTGACCTCAATCTGTATGTATGTATGTATTGCTAATATTCTGAAAACACGTATGTCTTACATACCATTGATAGTGGTATTGACACACGTTTTGCTGGTCTCAAGTAGGCCAGAATATTGCCGCCTGGTGCTTTAAACAACATCCATCTATTCGCTCACTCGCGTTTGTGTTCAGACTATATATGTTTTTTAAGCTAAACCTATATAACACGGCGGTTATCATTATGACTGTGAGGCTATGTTAATTGTTAAAGAGGTGAGGTGAGGTGAAATTGGGTTTAACGTCGCGTCCAAGATTATTGCACTTACGTAGCGACGTGCATGCACGTGTGTGCGTGTGTGTGTGGCCGATTGTATTAGTCCGGACTGATGCCGATTTATAGTGCTAGCTCACTGAGATACCATGCCGCAGTTTAACATGAATACCCCACTCAGACACAGCATACTGACTCCGAGCCGACCAGTCCTTGTTTTAGCCCCTTTATGCCGAGCGCCAGCCAGGGTAACAACAGGTACCATCTTTTAACGTCTTTTGGTATGAAGCTGCCAGGGATCGAACTCCGGACCTTCCGCTCTCTCTCTACCACAAGACCACGGAGGCGGCCCGACTATGCTCGTCATGAGAGGATCCGGTTGTCAGGACTGCTGACTCTGTTGATGCATGTCATCGTATCCCAACTGCACAGATTGCTGCCAGACGCGATTATTTACTGACTGTCGCCAAATAACTGAAACATGATTGCTGAGCGTGGCGTTAACACAAACAAACAAGTCATATTTGAATTTTTCCATTCCAGAGACAGAATTTCACAAAATCAGACAGTGATTATGACCAGAATAGTTATACAAGTGAGAATTCCTATGAGAGAAGATCTAGGAGACCAGAGTTTGACATTTCTCGAAAGTCTTCGCAATCAAGTGGTTATCAGAGTAGGGACGGAAGCCCAGGACGATCAGACACCCCCCCAGAGAACGGAACAAACGGATGACAACCTAGATCCCCAACAGAAACTGTTTACTGAAAAGCTTCCTTACATTTGAATGTGTGTGGTTGAATGTTCTTTGATTTTATTACTTTTATTGAGTATTCAGTACATGAGATGGTTAACTTAACTTTAGATATTATTTCTACTGTAATATAATCACGGTGCTGTCAAGATCAATTAGATAACAGCAGCTGGGTAAATTACCATGACCAGCAGCCCGTCAGTATCTGAGTTGCATGGAAATACCACAGGCATCCACACGTACCATGTATATCAAGAGAAAGAAAACACTGATTAAGAGCATCAAATTCCCTGCCATCATTAATTAATTAACGCATAATTTTGATGCTGCAGAGAGAAGGAATTAAACTTTAATGTATGGCAATTAAAACAGGCGAACATGTAGCTTGAATATACTACACGGAGCTTTTGCAAGGCAAGTGAAAGGCATGAAGGTGCGTTGTTATATTTACCACAAATAAGACAAGGCTTATATGCAAAAAAAATATGTATTGAGCTTTCAAAACTATACCATGGAATTGGGATTCGGAACTTGTTTATTTCTATGTCAGATACACACCACTATTGAAAGAGTCAAAATCTAACTTGTTGCCACGAACACAGAAAAAATATATACTCTAAAATCCATAAAGAGCAAAAGGTACCAGTTGACAACCTGGTCTCCAAGAAAGAGTGCCTATTAGTTTTAGAGATATGGTCTGGACAAACACACCACTATGAACAGAGTCAACGTCAAATTTGTTGCCTTGGAAACAGGAAAAACTTAATTATTGTTACATTCCTAAATAGCAAAAGGCACCACTTCAACCCTTGTAATACAAGTACCAAATTTGGATGGAAAATACTGCGCTGAGTTTTGGGGGGTTAACGTCCACTTCACAGTTAATATATTTCGTAGACGGGGTAGGTGGGGAATGATAAATAATAATAATGTTAGAAATATATATGAATAACCATACCCGAAAAAACCTGTAACTCTAGGGGAAAAACTATCTAATAATACCTTCACCTATAACATATGCATATAATGTTTTATATCTAGATCTATTATTACAAAGAATAGTATTATTTTGGAGAGATGTTAATAATTTATGACGCGAGAATATAATATGACATAGAATATGACATAGAAATAACTACACGAGTGTCTATCATCGAGTTGTTTCAAAACGTATCTAACGGGCGAAAGCGAGTTAGATACGCTTTGTAACAACGAGTTGTAAGATCAATGTTATCTGACAGGCACGAGTGCAGTAATCTGTTTCTTACACACCCTAAAATCGCACCTTTTGTGCATCGAATCGATGCATTTTGTCTAATTCTCATGATCGCAGCAGTGCATTAATACATAACACCACTGTCATAAGTGACGTCATCCTATGTATTGCTTACTACCCATAAATAATGTGACCCTACACAAAAAGGTTTCCGCCATATTTGTGGATAATCAAGGCAATGACAAAACAAAGAACACGCTTGATGCAGAGTTGAGTTAAAAGTTCACACCTCAAAGAAATTACCAAATATGTACAACGATGTTTTCTTCCGTATGACATCACTACCGGTGACCGACTTTTACAAAATGGCGTGTTTACTGACAACAGTACGCGGGATTTCCAGATTAGGGTTTTCGTTGATTGAGGGATCGTGTGTACATACATGTGTCATGTAAGTAATCAGAAACATTCTGACAATCTGTGTACTGTTATTGGTTTACTATGTGTTCCAATGTAACAAAGAGAATTAGTCAGAAATGCAGATAACTACCGTCGTCGTTGTGCGTGATTTAGCGTCAGTCATGGCGTCACACGAGCGTCACACAGGACAGAATTTACCACATCATTGTAATGTATATATTTGAAATTCCATAATTAGTGCGACGATACTCTTCCCATGAATATTCTCAAACGCGTGATCTAGCCAATGTATGCAACAATTAGACAAAGTACCTCTAAAAATGATACACAGTGTAAAATCTGAATTTTGCTTGTTTACATTTCAGCAAGTACAGTTTTCCGAGCACAGAGTTTGTTTTAACACCTAATTTATTTCCAATGATTTCATCTAGATAATTTGCATTGGTGACATTTGTTTCTAAAATGTATGAGGACTTCAGGGATGCATGTAGAGCAGCTGAGTAAGAAATATACCTGATCGAATAGACGTCTCATAACCGGCATTTCGTAAACGACAATCCAATATGGCGGAACGTACGCTTCGGCGTTCGTGTATGCGAATTTTCCAAAACATTGTAATCGATTCTAGGCTATCAGCGACGTTTCAAAGTTATCATTTCTAATTTGATATCTGACATCACTAATATGCTATTTTTCTACATTAATTTTTCGAGTAAATATCCGATATTTAGATTTCTAAACACACAGTATACTCTCTGGTAAATAACGCCGTGATTTGTGATTTGGCGAGCTTTACGATGTACCTAATTTCCAGAAGTCACTTTCAGTAAATTTGCTTTGCCTAAAATGACAGTAAATAATAAACAGAAGGGGGAATACAAAACTGTGATGTGTATTAGTTTGCGTGATGTGTTTTGAATTTTATTAAACTTCGAAGTGAGTGTTGAAGAGGAGGGCATTACACTCTAAAAAAACGATAACGTTGACATAACAACAGATAATGTAACTGATAATAATAACAAACAAACTCACAGACGAGTTGGTTTATTATTATTATTATTATTATTATTATTATTATTATTATTATTAATTACACGATCCTGTGGTTCAATACAGACGTAGGTGAACATTCGACTGAAGCACGAGAAACTTTTGAATGACTTATCCTCAGGAAAGTAGTCCGACATCATCTGACCTCAGGTCATCACCATGGATTAGCCAATCACGGGTCTGGAATTCGATCTCACACATACATGTATGTCTAAGATGAGACAGTCTCACATGATCAACCACTTTAAATTTAAAGTGTTTCTTGATTGATTTAGCCTTTACCTTAACTTTAGTCACAACCTTGGATTTGACAGGTTTGATTAATGTATCAATGTATTGTTTTTTTCCATACTAAAACTTCATTCCTGTTATCAGTGTCTGGTGCTGATCATTGGTTTATTGATCTATGTAGTCTTTGACCAGTTCGTGCTGGCCATCCAGGTAGTAATACGTTTGCTTGAACGTGAAATATCTGTACATGGTTGTGTTGAGAGTACGAATCACACGCTCAGCATAGGATGTTTTTGTTTCATTCTGGGTGATATAATAGGTGATGCTCTTACTTTGTAAATAGGTTTTCACTTTTCTATTGTTGAATTCAAGGTTTTATCCGACCTTATGATTTTGAGGAAGGAGAGGTTGTAAATATTTGCCTCAGGGCTTTGACAACAGAGTTGGGAGTCTTGTTTTTCATCTGTTCCACCCATAGATATCTTGCAAAAAATACTGATATTATTCACAAGTACTTGACACCATCATTATCCGAAGCTGTGTTAGACACGTCAATATCCCATCTACCATTAAAACCTGTAGCAACCACTCTTTTCCGCTTGAACGTATACCTCAAATGCCTCTGAAGTTAATAAGCAACTAAAATTAATGTGATGTAATCCAATATCAAATGTGTCTTCCTTCTTGATAATATAGAGCTCAGTGGGTCCAGAAAAACAGACTGGCTGTTTGGGATTAAAATACATACTTGACAAATACTCCTCTTATCCTTCAGCTGTAATTTTGAGAGTAGAAATGATAAACATCTGTAAATGGCATATTTATACTACTGGCTTACTTCAAAGTTTGTTTTACAGATAATTATGAAAGACAATCCACAGCATGCCTAACTAGACACTCTAGCTATGCTTTACTCTGTGCACACACCCTCTGGAGACGGAACACTGTGTTATGGTTATAGCGAGTGTCTTTCACAACTATATGTATGTATTGCACCACTGCTTGAAATATTTCACTACCGGGCTGCCGCTTGTGTAATACTTCTAACTCCTACCGACGCGCTCTTTCGTTAGCCAGACAGATTAACACACACACCCCACCACCACCACCACCATCCCCCACCTACCCCCGCACCCCCCCCCCCCCCCCCCCTTCTGATCGACCAATCAGAATGTCTGAGGTATGGATGATGTGAGAACTCTCTTACTTCAAACCTGTGTCCTCTGTCGTGATATTGCAGCATAAAATTAAACTCACACACTCACTCAGAAATCTCTGCCTCCTTGCATAAAGGGCCACTATCCACACTTGACTGAGCACAAAGGCCAACTCGGTGTGCTACTTTGTAAACACGGATCTACTCTTTGCATTCATTACACACTCAAAAGACTTCTTTCATAATATTACCTGGTGTCGCTATTGACTGTTGCAAATTGTATTCATGATTTACCTGAGTGTTAAATGTACCACAGTCAGATAAGGGTGAGTAAATATTGTTTCATGTTTATCTAGTATTTCCTGCTGTTATAACCGAGTCTGTGACATGGCCAGGGAATGTTTGTTTGTTGTTTAACGCCGCACTCAGCTAGACTCCAGCTATATGATGACGATCTTTAAATAATCGAGTCTGGACCCGACAATCCAGTGGTTGACATCATGATTGATCTATGCAATTGAGAAACGATGATAGGAATCAACCAAGTCAGCCAGCCTGACCACCCGATCTCGTTATATTAGTCTCACAAGCACATTCGCCTGTTACGACTAGCATTGCTTGCTGAAGACCGTTTGTAAAACCAAGGGATGTCATTCCAAATGGCATGTTTGGGACGGATGACATCACGACGTCACGACTCTCCGCGTTGATATAGTTCCCTTTCAATAATTAAAGTTTGATGTTTAATGGATTATTTTGTTATGATTTATTTATCTGTCAATATACAGATTGAGGTTGCATTTGTTGACGTTCATCAGTATAAATGTGTTTTGCACAAAAAGAATAACACATATACACTCTAAAAACGTAATTGTCTTTTGATATACTAGTATATCGATAGAAACATGGAGAGTCTGTCTGAAGAAATCTGAAGAATTCTAGACTTGCATGGGATCTTTTGGATAGATGTCCTTCACGTCGAGACTAAAGCTTAGTTTCTGAGTATATATTATGTTGATAAGAGGAGTCCCAGTGGGGTGGAAATTTCAGCCTGAACCTGTTGAACATCTAGGCTTGTTTCATTTGGGACAATAGCGTTACAGTAAGGACTGCGCGGAAGGGAAAATAATAGTCTGTATCTTTAGAGTTATGCAATTTGAGCCATCTGAGACGGCGACTCGACTCCTGTTTGCACCTATAAGATACCAGTCACGACTGTCTCTACTTCTCTCTCCCAACGAAAATAAATACGAAAAATGTCGATGAAAGTGTATATTTTTAAACCTGCCAACTTACTGCAGTAGAACACCGAGATCACGAACACGGAAAGCGCGAACAAACGGATACAACGAACTGTTAAAAAATCCCCGAAATTTCTCCTATATATTATCATTTATAATGACAATTCAACACAAAACTTGCAACAATGATTTAATACCTGAGACACATTCAATATAATACATTCCTAACAAAGTTTGGCGTAAGGGGATTCTCACTGCAAATTATACACATGTGACTAGAAAGCTATTGGTACATGTACATGACTGAGCATCAGTCATGCCCAGCTAGGGATTGATTCGCCTTGCACAACTGAAAACCTTCCCAAGCATTGGGTATAAACACAGGCGAATAGACTACATGTACCTGAATTATGTGTACCTGACTGAGCATCGGTTAGGCCCAAGCTGTTGGGATCAATTGTCGAGAGTGATACATAGAATACAAAGGTTTCGACAATTAACTACACATCTATCATTCTACACTACAGATAGAACGCATTAGATGCTAAACACCATGGAGGTCCAGCCTGACCGGTGTTTTGACAACAGGCATCCAATGCATCCCATCCTAATGACTGCAGGGGTAAATATACCCGACTGCTAATACAACAAAAA